TAAAAAAATCGATTAGTCTATACGTTGCTAAATCTCTTAAATTCTATTAAAAATAATGGTTATAATTTAAATATTCTAAATGAACTAAAAAAATAACATATAATAATTCATTACATACATGTAAATCATTTGCATTTTGAAACTATACATAGTTATAATACAACTATTGTTATTACTACAGCATTAAAATTTTAACCTCGTCAAATTATTATTTTTGTATATATTCGTACTCAACGATTATATATATATTTTCTTATTACCTAGTTATGATTATAAGTGAATACAAATTTTCTATTAATTTTAATATACATGTTCAACATTTTAAATACGGTGCTTATTAATTATTATACATTTTTATTTTACATAAATCGTCTTAAATCATAAACTTGGGAAAAATAATGAATATTTTTGTCTGCATAATTTACATTAGTAAGTAGATGAACAAAAATATCTCAAAACTTTATTTTATATAGCTATAGATTATTATTATGTCTAAGTCTAACACGGTGGGATGAATGCTTTATAAAACACGCACATATCATATTTTTTTTATACATTTACAAGGTATTTTGTTTACATACTTTATATGACGACGAAAGTTGTGGAAAAACGGTGTATAATAATAATAACAATAATATTTTCCCCTCCCGATCAACCAACGCGCATAATATTTTACAATATTTTCTAAAGATATTGATAAATCACAGTGGTTATATTATATCTTATATTATTCATCGTTGGTCACGAGCGTTGTCGTCTATAGAAACCCTCCAAACACGGGCACCGTATTAACGTATATTATATACATACCCACGAAATGCGTGTTATATAATATTATTATATATACCTTTAAACATTATATGCATATACTATGTACGTGAAATACCCATACGGCGTATTCGTATACATAATACGATGGAAGGGGCATGTCATCATTGGTGAATATGTGGATAGATCTCGGTGAGGTGGAGTGGTAGTGTGAAAAGGGTATACATGGGACGATTTATCAGCGAGATAGAATTCGAAGCTGAAAACCATTAGAATCAATCAAAAGTATACAGTTGTAGTGTGTGGTAGGAAGAAGTGGAGAATAGGAATACACACTCGCACTCACACGTGCAAAACCCTAAGTACGATTTTGGTGGTGGATTGATGGGGGGGAGCAGATTTGAAAGCGATCAAACACGTCTGTGGCAAAACTGTCTCCCCGCGAAAACGTCGAGCGATCGGTGGCGCATGCGCGCGTTCTTGACGTGGAGGTGAGCAGCACACATACACCCACAACATGCATACTCATGCACACAAATGTTATGCGTAACGATGGGTAGGTGTGGGTGGGAGACGCGTGCCTATACACTGAACTCGAAACGGACAGCCGACAATTATTCATCGCGTGGCGAAGGTTTAAGGGTGTTTCGAGCGCATTGCCACGCGCACGTCACCTGTCCCGCTAGCGCCAAACCAAATGTGTTTCTCTTGTCGTTCAAGTTCCGAGTGCATTAACACACACGCACTCGTGCTTGCACGTCGACACCGCAGGCATCACTCCGACCTGGGCCGACCGATCGCGTTTGCTAACGGATAGATGGAATGCCCATAAGCTGCGTGGTGGTGGAAAGGGTTGTTATTCGTTCGTTTASAGTGAGTCTRTGACTGTGACAACAGCAGTGGCGTGTGACGTATTGATTGTTCTATTTTACACCCCACTCACTCCTCTCTCCAGAACATAATAACATATTATTATTGTATTATACGCCTTTACCTCAACCAATCGATTTTCTATGGGCCTACCTACCTAGTACCTATACCTAATCATACCTACTTGTATCTATTATTTTATATTATACATATTATTTGYCACGATTACGTGATGTTTAACTKTCGTACACTCATAATCATTATATTGTTATATTGTATAGTATACTTATCATATGGATCCATATATTATATAATTAATGCGTATAATAATGTCATTAGATGGTGGCGATGGTTATATTATGATATATCGAGCTGGTTCCTAGGGATTAACCAACATGGCAACATATTACGTTGTATATTATATAATATGAAATTGTAAGGGGTAGTAAAGTATAGCTTATCCTCTCATTTCTATATCGTATTTGTAAATTGTAACCTATTCCAAGGTAGATTTGAGATTGAATATTTTTATTGTGTTTGTATTCTGATAATATAGCGTCATTATAATACTATAATACACTCTTAGGAAGAAGAAATGTACCTTTTAAAAAGAATATARTATGTAATTTTATTTACAGTTAATCATTGTAAACTTTACAATAACCAAGAATATTTAGCCTAACAATATATACTTAAAATTGTATGGTTTCTTTAATGAATATTTAATATCCTTCCCTTTTAATGTGCTGTCTTATATATATGAATACCTACCTACTCTGCGTCTATAATACGGTGATCTATTATATAAATAGTAAWATTTTGTATTCGGTTTATTTTTATAGTACATAACTACCTGATTACGGTGACTTAAATGTAAATATAATTTATGTTATACGTTTATTACAATCCGTGTACTTATACCAAGGAYGTGCGTTTACTTCTCCTCAATCGRCCGTCCTGAAATTGTATATTGAATGAAATATAAACTTTTTTCTGGTCTACGGTCTATGGTTAGGTTAAATGCGAGACGAAATTTGATYTCCTCCGTCGAGCAACCTACCAAGAATGTCTGAAAACTTTAAGAAACTTAGGTACAAAATCTCTTAGTCTTGTTAAATTGTGCGGTATAATAATATATACCTATGCCAGTATTTCAATATATTATATAATATAAATGCATGCATATGACATATCCTGTGGAAGGGAAGCCATAATTTAATTTTTTTTCATAACTTAACTCRAACGAAATTGAAACATATATATTTTGTRGTTTTATAATTATTTATGTACATTTAGGTATTTACAATTATTCATATCACTCTCAACTCGTGAGATTGAAAATTAAATAAATATGACTTTAAAAAATACAATTAATCAATTAATCAAATTAATCTAATTGCACACTACAATTGTGTCCAATATATTTAACATTTTCTAACCACAATCAAATTAATAAAGGATCGAAAATGTTAGCACATTATTTATGGAGTTGGRAATAATATTATAGTTTGTGTGACATMAACTGTTGTGTCATGTTATCAAATTCTTGATGTAATTTTAAATACATCATTATTTTTTATATATATTATATTAAATAATTTACTTAACACCTTTACCAAAAAACATCGATTCGCAGGAGATAGTTTTTATCCAACTGTGGTTGCAACCATTAATATGTCGATTTGTATAATAAAATCATAATACTATCAATGAATTGTAATTCAAGTGCAAAATKTTCTAACCTGTTATGAAGTTAAAATAATCAAATGATGAAAATACAATTTTGAACTCAATTAAAGATTTSTCTGGAAAAACCAACATCCCTGAATATGATATGTTGTATATCATTAGCTAACTTGAAAAACTTAATTTTATCTAGATTTAATAACGAAATATTTMTTTATTTAAATCTGCATTTTAAATTGTAATGATCTCAGCTTTGATTATTTATTTAATAAAATCGTTTTGTTAAAGTAATATTATAATATTATCGGTATTACATGAGTCTACATAAAAACACGAATAAAACTCACATTTTTTAACATTGTATTTTACGTTAAATACAGATGTTTACAAATCTATAGTGAATAATATAAGATCGGATAAAATTGATTGACTTTCATCTGAATGTTGTACACACCGATTATTAGTTCTACTGATGAGCGCATTATAAATTCATTTTTTTATTTTTTTGTCCAAGTAACCTTCGTTGTGGTTTTGGGTCTTGAACACGTATTCAAAAATCCCCCAAGGGTCATGAATCGAGTATAATTCGCTTTGTCCGCCGGTCTTCGTTCGACCATCGTCTGGGTCATTGTCTGAAATATTATTATTTACGCCAGTATAGAACATAATATAAGTACAAAAAAAAAAAAAAATAGCACACAGACCCCCAAAACACGTATACGCAAGTATAAAATATATTTTATATAATATACACTGTTTTGTATGCTGTGTCAGTGTGTCATATTGATGGTATTCTCATAAAATACTGTTTGGTGCGGTGTGTGTGTTTAATCTTGCGTTAAAAATATCGTCGAGTGCATGTACTAGAGGTGGTATATATAAGAACGCGCGTGTGTAGRGAAATTTCCTGGTCACAATCGATTTGCAAAAAAAAAAAAGTAAATAAATATATGTATGTATAATATATAACCCCTTTCCCATCGCCAATTTTTTTCTCTCCACGTGAAAAAAATATTTATGTATAAATAGAGTCGTAGGGTTGGTAGACRGAAAATGTATATATGTATAATAAATAATATAAAGTGGAAAAATTCCGCATCGGTACGCACGCCGATGAGGCATTGAGATCGCTCCGCCGAGCGTACGGATTTCCCGTCCCGTTCGATTCCCGGTGTGATGTGATCTAAATAATAAACGGGCCCACATTACCATAATATTGACCTAGGTGGCGGTGGCAGGAGGGATATATTCACTTGGTTCCGTGTACGCAATATGTGTGTATGACGAGCTGTATGTGATGTAAATAATATTATTATATATAAAATATATTCTGCGGGGGTGATTCAGCAGCACGCGTTTTTCCGCCGAGGGTTTTCGGTGGTGTATGATGGCGTTCGGGACAAAAATTAGACGAAAATTATTATTATTATAAATTATAATACGACGTTTGCAATATCATAGACATATATATATGAGTATACTACTACTATACAACTACGCTATACGCATATTATCTTAATGATTTACGTTTTAAGTTGTACGACTTTCCGGTTAAAACACAAAAATAAATTGTTTTCTCGTTTTTATTTTTAAATTTATATACSTAAATAAAAATCTTTAAATAAAACCATTGTTGTGAGCATAGTTGTGATTGTACGTTATAAATGGGGTTTCAGCCGTGTTGCTGTAGCTGATCAGACCGCTGGAAACGAAAACGAGCTGAAATATGTGTCAAGGTAGGAAACATATTAACGGAATAGGTTTTTGGAGTGTGTTTTGTGATTTTTACGACACCGGGAAATTCAATTAGCTATACCATTTATACGAAAAAATATACAAAACTGATCATTTTACATACCAAATGTAATCATTTATATTATAAACAGATAAAAATGATAATATATTATATGCGTGTATATACACATCATAATTCACTTATGTGTATATAAATGTATGTGTTATTTGTATTAGTATCGATTTTAGCTAATCGAATATTCCTGGCGTTTTGTTTTTAGTTAATTTTTGTGTTTTCAAAAATTTTTATTATTTTTATTTTTAATTTTTAGCTGGGATTTTGATTTGTTGGGGGCTAGGTAAATTGAGTCCGAGATAAGTTTGGTACATTTTGAAAGCGGTAAATTGAGTCCCGGGTAAAAATAGGTAGTAGGTAAGTGGAGTCCCAGAAAAAATAAGGCAGTAGGTAATTTGAGTCCCAGGGAAAAACGATTTATATGCATTTAAAATTTAAAAATGTGTACTATAAAATTTTTATTTGTGWTTTGTGGACAATTCATTGACTGCATGTATATGATTTTGTAAATAGCAACATGCATTTTTATTGCATAAAAAATAATTATATAATTAATAAAAATGCATGTTGCTATTTTCAAAATCATATACATGCAGTCAATGAATGTCCACAAATCACAAATAAAAATTTTATAATGCATATTTTTAAATTTTAAATGCATATAAATCGTTTTTCCCTGGGACTCAAATTACCTACTACCTTATTTTTTCTGGGACTCAACTTACTTACTACCTATTTTTACATGGGACTCAATTTACCGAGTTAGGGTCATTGGGACTCAATTTACCAACCCCGATTTGTTGGTGTACCGTTGCGTATTTAGAATATTAATTGTTTTATCTTCAACCTGCAGGTTGATATCGCTTTTGATGTATTTGAWTATAATTAAATAAAATGGCTGCCATTTTGATTTGTTTTTTTGTTTTATTATTTTTGTTAAAATGTTACCAAATTACCAAGTTTTCTAATTATATTGTTTTTTACGTTGCTCTTGACATAAAAGTAATATATATATATATATATTTCGTGTGATCTAAATAAAATAATCTTGACAGTGCATGTTTTTTTAAAATCATTATTGGTTCTTTACATTTAATGATTATTATAATATATCGCATGTGCACTATGGGGTTTCTAAAAAATTAAATAAAACAGTTAAATAACTTTTATCACTCATATTTTGGTATTGATTTAGGTTTATTATGAATCCCAGAACAATAGAATTAATCAACTAAATTTTTTCAGTTTTTAGATTATTTATTATAAGTAGTATAATATGTGGCTGTGGTTTTCATAAGTATATTCGTATGTTTAAGATATTTTAGTTATTTTTTGTTAAATACTTTCAATGTTTTTTATTATTTTTAACCGTGGGCACATTAAAATAGAAAACTTTTATTTTCAATTATTATTTTCAGTGCTTATCACGTTAGGTAATATATCGTAAATTAAAAAAAAAGTACGTCGTCGTCTAAACATGCTTAGTCAAAGAATCAGGTTTAAGTTTTTGGATGGTGTTATTTTAATTTTGTATTGTAGTTTTACTTAAATATTCTTACATTAGTGCATAAGTCTAAGATATCGATAGGGAATTCTAAAGGTATAAATATAGGTATAAGTATTAAGTAAGAAAACACTATAAGCAGATTTTTGCTTATGAATTTATACATAACATCTATACATCAAGACACATCCTTTTTTGTTATAAGACAGTTTTTTTTCAATAGCAATTAGTATAAAGTATCTTGTCTAGTAGTTTTAAAAACTCTACGACGTTGTTTTCCTTGATTTCCTTTATCATGAGTATTATTTCTGTTAAAATGTATAATTCATTCATAAAACATCATTATTCTGTTATTCTTGCTGACATCGTTCTTTGAAAATCTAATCTTATGATTTTTTTTAAGGTATAGTTTATAATTTACACCCCAGATTCTAATAGTATTACACATTCGTGTTTTATAATAATTTATATATATAGTTTACATATTTTTCAATACCAAATGGGAAATCTTTAATAATCGCAAATTTAAAACAAAATGCATTAAATATTTAATATTGAATGTTTAGTTAGTATTGAAGATTAATTTTTGTTTTAATAAATTTTAAAATTTAAGTATACTAATTAATTTTGTCGATATAACTAGATATCATTTGAACGAAAAAAATTCGGTTAATCATTCGGCATATGATACTATTAATAACCTATAGCTATATCTTAGCTGCATTAACAATCACTGCTGTGGTGATCATTCGATTCTCGATGCGTACTAGTAACACGCTGTCCCGGACCTTATTTATTATTTAATCATGTGCCTATATACACGATTGTACCAGATACGATGTACTTATTAGATATATAATATTTTAATAAGAATATGGTAGAGTGAAAAATAATTATTTGTAAGTGTGTGTGATGAACACGTTTGTTATAATGGCAAAAGCGATAACGACGATAATAATAATAATAATAATAATAATAATAATAATAATAATAGTAATAATAATTACAGTACCTAGTATGACAATTTTTTGACCTTAGTTTTTGGTTATCATAAGAGCTGACGACAAAGGGGATCGTATATACATTTTCGATAACATACATTTATATACATATA